CGAGGCCTTTTGGAAGCTCATTGGCTTCGGGTTCTGTAGGAACTTCGAAGTTAAGCGAGAAGAGGGCTAGAGCAATCCCATGATGGGTGACCCACTAGGAAGTTGCTCGTGAGTTCCCAAAAACAAAACCATGAGGGAATGGTAAGCCCAAAGCGGACAATATCGTGCTACGGTGGTGGAGTGGACCCGAGAAGTGATCCGCCCCAGGCCGGGATGTGACAATTTGGTATCAGAGCCTAACCCTGGTCGCGTGTGTGCCGACGAGGACATCGGGCCCCTAAGGGGGGTGGATTGCGACATCCCACATCGCCAAGGAAGTGATCCTTATATGTATATTCTCATCCTTACCTAGCACGAGGCCTTTTGGGAGCTCACTGGCTTCGGGGTCCGTAAGAACTCCGAAGTTAAGCGAGAAGGAGAGCAATCCCATGATGGGTGACCCACTAGGAAGTTGCTCGTGAGTTCCCATAAACAAAACCGTGAGGGAATGGTAAGCCCAAAGCGGATAATATCGTGCTACGGTGGTGGAGCGGGCTCGGAAAGTGATCCGCCATGGGCTGGGATGTGACAATCTCCCCCTCTCCATTAATTCTAATTTAGGATGTAACAAATTCAAACAAAAGTAGAATTTTTTTTTTTTTTGAACAACAAACAAAAGTAGATTAGTCCTATTTGTTTCTTAGATTAAACATTATGCATTTAAGAATCTAATTAAAATAGTCGACTCCACTTAGTAGGAAAATGTTTTGTTATTATTGTAAAATCCGATTAAAATGCTGCCTATTATTATGGCGTCGAACATTTCCTGTTTTGGATATGAAATTACACCAAATGCCACTAATTTTTTATACACACCCATATTTGTCCAGCTACAACTAATTTCCTATAATATCTAGGAAATTAATTTTGTGAAATGCATAATTAATATTTTCCTTCAATAAACGGCATGTCAAAAAATATATATATAATAATAGATACTCTATCAAAGGCAACTTAATTTTTGTTTTGATACAGTCCAAAAAATTAATCCTTTCAACGCAATTACACAATTAAAAAATGCCATGAATTAAAACTCAAGTATCATAAACGTTTCAATTTTGTAGGACGTTTAAAATTCAAATGTACCATAAACATATCAAAATGTATATACTACTTAAACCCAAACGTACTCATGTTATACAAAACTAAACGTACCATAGAACCAAATAACTATACAAGCAAAGCATGTTCATACAATTGTGCCTTTTAGTTTCCTAGAGTTTCTTTCTACGAATTTTGTTCAATTAATTATTTATTGATTTTTTGTGCCTCTTGATTTTTGATTTCGTTCGTGTGTTATGCTGTTTGAGATTAGAAAAATTGATTTTGATTGGTCTTGGTTGCTATTTTAGTTGTCGGGCTTTGTTCATATTTGAGCTTTGTTTCTGGGTTCTCTGCATCTGCCAGACGAAAAAAAAAAGAAAGGTGTATAGAAATAAAATGATGTGCAAGATCATTTTCTTGAAAAATATGTAATTTTCATTAAGTGACTTGTTTTATTTGTAGTCGTCTTGACAATATATATTTTTTTGGGTAAATTACATTTTCATACCTGAGGTTTGGGGCTTATTTCAATTCCCTACAACATCTGCAAAACATTTCACTTTCATACCTTAAGTACTATTTTATTTCAAAATGATACCTTCGTTACATTTCCATCCATTGATCTGTTAAGTGCTGACATGGCTGCCACATATATGCCACGTGGCTGCCAAATGTCTGCCACGTGGCAAAAAAAATAATTTTTAAAATTTTTTTAAAAAAAAACTGAATCTTCAACCCAAAAAAAAAAAAAAAAAAAAGGTTAGAAAACTAGATCCACCCCACCCCCTCCCCCATACGTAAACCTTCAACCAAAAAAAAAAAAAAGAATAAGCAAATAGAAAACCCAGATCCCGCATACCCTCCTCCCCAAATCCCGTCAAACCTCCCCCCCCCCCCCGGGGCCTCATCATCTTCCATCCGTCATTCGCACCCATCCTCCATCTCCTCCGCGCACCCATCTTCCCATCTTCCCCCTTCCAACCTGAGCCCAACCTGCAACCCAGAAAGAAGAAAAAGAAAAAAAAACCAGCGCACCCACCCTCTGCACCCACCCTCGCACGCACCATTTTCCCTCCTCTACACACCCCACTCCTTAAATCCACACTCATTGGGGAAGACGGGATCTGATTTGTATGGAAATGAAGGGTTTTTTTTTCTTTTCTTTTCTGGGTTTTTTGTTTTTTTTTTTTTTCTAGGTTGCAGGTAGTGGGTGTGGAGGAGGAAGTGGAGGGTGGGTGCACGGTGGGTTTGGGGAAGATGGGAGGGGAGGAAGATGAAAGATGGGTTTTTTTTTTCCTATCTTCTTCTTCTTCTGGGTTGCAGGTTGGGTTGGGGGGGGGGGTGGTAGGGAGGGATGGGGGTTGCGGGTTTAGCTTTTGTTTTTGGTTTTGGTTTTTTTTTTTTTTTTTTTAGAAGATTCAGGTCTTTTTCTTTTAAAAAAAAAAAAAATTTTTTTTTTTGCCATATGGCAAACATTTGGCAACCACGTGGCATATATGTGGTAGCTACGTCAGGACTTAACGGATTAATGGATGGAAAATGTAACGGAGATATTATTTTGAAATAAAATAGTACTTAAGGTATGAAAGTAAAATGTTTTGAAGATGTTGTAAGAAATTGAAATAGACTCCAAACCTGAGATATAAAAATGTAATTTACCCTATTTTTTTTCATTATGTAGTCTCTCCTATCCTTTTTAGTAAATTAAATATGAATAACTGTTAATGAGGAGGGATAGTACTATGATGAAATCACACATTCTTGTGACCCTCCTCAACCAAATTACTAAGCAGATGAAAGTGATAACGGTATAAGATTAGGTTATTTAAATCTGACTCGTCCGTATTATGTTGCATTAAATTCAATCATTTTTATAATCTAACGACTTAAAACAGGACAAGTCAAACTTAATAGTTAACTCCGGTCTAATGACATTAAGTTTATAAATTTAAAAATAATCAAAACAGAAAATCAAAAACTTATCAGCCAAAAAAGTCTGGCATCGAGGCGTTCATAAGTTGGACTTTTTGTTTATTGTTTGGTTTTTAGTTTTTTAAAATTTATTCAGACTTGAGGATGTTAACTTGGAGTTAATATTAAATTTGATGTGTCATGTTTTGAGTTGTAAGATATCCTAAAATCAAATGTTCTTTTTTATGGGTTGTCTAGCTAAAAAAAAAAAAAAATCCTAAAATCATTTTTATTTTATTTTATTTTTTTTGCTACATACGTATTGTATCAAATATCCCATATATTTAGATGAAAACACAAGAAGAAGATAGAAAACTTTAAAAAATAAAACAAAGTAGAAGTAAAGGCAATCTTAATAAAAATTGATTGAAACTAATATAAGTAAATTGAATCTTGAACAGAATGACATCACAATTTCCATGGTAATTTTTATATTTTTAGTTGTGCTAAATACTCACTGGGCTAGTTTCATTAAAAATAATTCTTCTTGCACTTCTTTTTGTCTATTATATTAGACAATACACTAAAATATATATACATATTGCCACAAACCCTCCCTGGGCTATAGCCCACCGTAGCCTTTGGTGTGGCTACGCAAGTGATTATTATAAAGGTTGAGATGTAATGAAATGCATGTCATAAATGCACAAAAGCTAAATGTAGAGACTAATATATAACAAGTAAAAAGTATTTAAGTTTCCAATGTGAGATTTATTCTCAATAGTTCCTTGGTATTGTAGAACGAAAACTAGAAATCACATAATCTCCCCCTCTCCAAAATTCTAATTTAGGATGTAACAAATTCCAAAAAAAAAAAAAAGGTAAATCTAAACATTTATGTGTTTTAGAATTTTGATTAAAATGCTTCCTATCAATGTGGCACCAAATAGATTTTACTAAACCTTTTTTGGATATGAAATTACACCAAATGCCATTAATTTTAATACAACCATTTTCGTCCAGCTACAACTAATTTCCTATAATATCTAGGAAATTAATTTTGTGAAATTCATATTTAATCTTTTCCTGCCGTAAACGGCATGTCAAGAAAGAAAAAAAAAAATAGATAAGTTTCAATTAAGGGCGACTTTATTTTTGTTTTGATACAGTAATAAAAATAATCCCTTCAACACAATTAAATGTCATGAATCAAAACTCAAATGTATCATAAACGTATCAATTTTGTAGTATGTTTAAAACTCAAATGTACCATAAACATACCATCCAAATGCATTCATGTTATGCAAAACTAAACGTACCATACATATAACCAAATAACTAACTATACAGGCAAAAGTACCTCAAAGCATGTCCATAAAATTACAAAACTATAAAAATAAGCGAAAAAATAAAAGTATAATTTTGTGAATTTATCAATTGAAAACTTACTAATAGTATATTTTTGGACAAAACTTAGTGGAATTCCTTATATATAGGGAGGACGAGATACACAAAATATATAGCATTAAAAAAAATAATTAATAACCAAAATCTAGTGAGAAAAAAAAAATAAAAGACTAACATGTAATATGATTGGCGATAAATAACTACTGACCTGAAAACAAGTCAGAGTACTTAAAACAAAAAATATATAAAATCAAAAGCAGGAAAGCTACAAATGCGAGAAAATGGAATGGTTAACTCTAATTATCTAAAGTACATATTAATAGAGCCTTCATTATCAACCAAATTCCATAAAACTATCATTCTAATCCTTCAATTAAAACTGAATATAAATAAGAAATATGAACAATAATGTAATTTCACACAACTAAAATTTTGTTGTTTTTTAAAACCTCATTTACATGTGATTTTAACAAATCTCTAATTAAAAATAAAAAATAACGTTCCCTCCCTTCTCTCCTCACTCCCATTCTCTCTCACTTTTTTCTCTCTCCTCCCATTTTAAAAACATTCACACATATTTTGTGTGTGCACATATGCTAGTTCCAAATAAAAAACTGATATATTATTACATAATTGAAAAGTTACAACCATTTGGTAAATCATTGATTCGATAATTTCAAACTATTCATAATTAAAAGGGTATTACACATTATGAACTTTTACAAATCTCACTTAATTAACCCTCTTAACTCTTTGTCACTACCCTTAATCTTGATCAGCTCCTTCTCCCTCCACATTCGCAAATATCACCTCTTGTTGTGCATCCAAACCCTAGCCAAGCTCCTGCTTCTTAATTCCAAACCTCCGCCCAAATCACTCCACTTTTTTCTCAGCCAGCTTCTGAATCCTCCACCCTCATCCTCTCTTTCTGCTCCACCGTAAACTTCCTCCGCTACGGCCTCTTCGAAGGCGTAAATGGTAGCAGCCCCACCACTCCTCCTTCAAACACATGCAGATCCTCGCTTGAACTCGAGGTCCCTCCTCCCCTCATCAAACCATTCACTGCCTGCATCAGTTTATATAAGTTATCTATATTAGGGATCATGTTACAAATCACATAACCAAAAATCTGACATATTTTGATTCCTCCATATGAATTCCTATACTAGTTAATACCCTAATACTCCCAAAAGCAAAATGGAAACAACAGCATCTGAATTAGAACTTACATGATCAAACTTTGGAATCACGGTCTCCTTGATGCACGCAGAATGAATAGTTGCAATATCATTCTCGACGAGTACAAACACAAGGGATCTCTTTCTGGTAAATCATGGATTCGATTCAACGTCAAGCGTCGTGATCTGAAAGGGAAATTAGGGTTTGCATTTGACTTTCTTCTTTTCCAGGAACTGAAGGGTACTTGGAATACCCACCATCTGTTCTAAACATTTGAGAACAAGGATGATCAAAAAATAAAAAGAAACCCTACTGCTCTATACGAGGTACGGCGCACTCTGAGCCTTGACGGCAGCAATATCAGTGTTATTTATAGTGCTTGTGTCTAGGTTAGACTGAAATTACCCAGCCGTGCACAGAGCCAACAACTCTGTGCCACATGGCACCCTCTGGTTTGTCATCTCCACGTCTCTAAGGCAAAATGATTGGCTATGAGGTCATCCTTATCCTTGCTGACTTGGATATGATAGACATTTAGACGACAGTGTATCGTAAATGGGGATTTGTACAGGGCAGTTAAGAATTTTGTAAACCTAAAGTAGGGAGTGAAAATTGTTTATTCTCACATAAAATACAACGATCACGATTTGGCCTAAAAATATGGTTTCTTTTACAGTTTCTTTAGTAATATAGTTGATTACAATGGTACGATGACGAAATACAATACGTGTATTTTTATTGAGAAAGTATAATACTTTGTGAGTTGATTGTGTTTTTACACCTCGCTTCATATGAATTTTTATAATCTTCTAGTCTCTTATATGGGACAGGTGAGTTTTGGTCGTTGTGTGGTTGATGTAGTATTTCAGTTGAAAATTAAAGTACCAAAATAGACGATCAAACAAATCATGATACCGAATATTTTTAACTGGAAATCAAACAAACAAAAATGCCAAAACGGTTACAAACTAAGAATTGCATGAGTAACTTAATTACCAAACTATATTGCAAGTTATAGTTGACATAAACCTGAAAAACCCTAATGCGTAAAATATAAAAAAGAAACCCTAGTACAAAATCAATTGGAATCTCTAATTAATTTCCTAAATAAACTAATAAATTCCAACACCCTCCACGTCAAAGTAATGCAGCCACGTAGGTACGTTATTTGAGGAGAAATTTTTCATTGTGACGAGAACACAAGTAGCACATCACATATTTTAATAAAAGTGGTGGGAAATTTTATTTTTTATTAATTTTTTAGCACATATATCTCATCATTTGTATAGTGACACGTGATGTACCATCCCGTGTACCAGTTACACTGAAAAATCTCTCGTTATTTGAGTTTGTTGGATCCAATGTTGAAGCGGATACATAAGTGGTCTTGGATCACGAGGTGATTTGAAGCCCCGATGTCCTTTACAGTGTCCAAATAAAAAGCATGGCATTTTTCATATACCACAATTAATTGTTTAGAGAGCTTTTTTTTTTCTCTCACATGATCTCCCATTATCTTCACATTTCAGATTCTTGGCCATATATTCCATCTGATTGTAATATACTTTGCCACTTTAATAAATGAAATATGTTGTTTCCTTTAAAAAATGATCTGCGCACTATTTTCTCTTTTAGTTTATTCAATCTAAATGCTAGGGAAATAAAAAGATGTATAGAAAAAAAATGATGTGCGAAAATCATTTTCCAAAAGAATATGTAGTTTATACTTAAGTGACTTGTTCTATTTGTAGTCATCTTGACAATATATAGTTTTTTCAGCATGTAGTCCCTCCTATCTTTTTTAGTAAATTAAATATGAATCATTGTTGCTACTTGGTACTACGGTCTAGTGGTATTCCTCTTCACTTGTAAGTGAGAAGTCTTAAATTCGGTTCTTGCCAAATGTAAATTTGAACCACATTATTGTTAGTTATTGTGAGGTCAAGTCCACCCCTCACTAAGGCCCCCCCTTAACGTAGATATTATTATCTGCTAAAAAAAAATGAATAATTGTAAATGAGGAGGAATAGTACCATAATGAAATCAAACATTCTTGTGACCTCCTCAACCGGATTACTGGAGTAGATGAAGGTGATAATGGTATAATATTAGTTTTTTTAAATTTCTCTCATTTATATTATGTTGCATTAAATACAACATAATATTGTAGAATTTCCCAAAATCATGATACCACTTATTGAATTATTTGGACAAGAACAAAATAAGAACAATTGGTTTTGTCGGTAGAGCTTTACATGTTACTATATATACAGCTAAGACATGTCATTATTCGTTTCGAGGTAGAATTATGCCATAATCAAAGATTAGGGTTGAATGGAGATGCAAGAAATCGACCTACATGTCTTGCGAATCTCGAGTCCCTACATTTAGCTTTTATGCATTTATACACATTTCGCTAAAATTCAATTATTTTAATAATCTAAATACTTAAAACATGACACGTCAAACTTAATAGTTAATTCCGATTTAACGCCATTAAGTCTATATCAATTAAAAATAATTAAAAACAGAAGAAAAAGCTTGTCAGCCGTAAAACCAGCTAAGCTGATTCACCATCTGCATAAAAATATTGCATCTCTGCAGTCTGAAATAATCTGCAATTCAGTGAGCGAAAATTCTACTGTAAATTTAACTTGAACGAGCCCTACCTTATCAAAGTAGGTAAACTATTAACAAGTAGAAGGTGGGGTTGATTGGGTGATAGGTGCTGTCGGGGAGGAGCGGCTGTTAACTTGGAGTTAACTTAACTATTAAAAGGTTGAGATGCGCAATGCATGTAAATGCACGAAGCTAAATGCAGAGACCATAACAAGTAGCCGGTATTTTAAGCTTTCATATTATTGATAAGGAGGGAAGACGGAATGTACAAAGTACGTCAAGTACACGAACAAATATTCATACTCACTTGAGCTACAAAGTCGCATTTCACAAATAAAAGCAATGGGTCATAAGCTAAATACGAAGCTGACATTTATGGAATATACTGCTCAGTAACTGTAATGCCAAATAATATCTTTAGATATATACAATTACAATGACAAGTTGTTGATTTTGTCCCGCTAGTAATAAGACTGTATATGGTAACCTACTTTATATTCTGTTTTGTATAGCAATGAGTAGCACCAAAAGGATGGGAGAAACAAGAAAAATGATATATGGTAGAGTTTGATTCAGTGTACCTACTTCGACTTCATCCTCTTTTAGCACGTAGTCCGATTTGTTTTCAATGAAAGCTTCAAAATAATTCTGGAAGCCAGTGTTCTTCAAAGGTGAGTTCTTCGTAAGCCTCAACATTTCCATGGCCTGGCAGATGAACAAGTTCCATATAACTTATGATGGAAATGAAAGCAACAATCCAGCAATATGCACACGAAATGGTCACTTTGAAATGTGAAAAAACTATTTGTAAGAATCCCCATAAGATATAGGGTACTATTTCAAACTGGCATTTGAATCTTAGGACATGGAATAACCCTAACATGTACAGAAAACGCATGCCTACAATATAGGTATCATATCAGGTGTCAAAGTCATAGTTGCTCAACTTTTTTTTTTTTAAGGATTGAATGCTTAGTTTGAAGAATAGAGCGCTTTGGAGCTTTGTCTTGTAATTATAGGTGCTAGATGAATGACAGATCAAATTATAGTTACCTGAAAGCTGAACACAAATTGCCTCGCCTTCTTACTTACTCTAGGAGTTGGGTGGGACTGAAGCTTCTCGTACATAACTTGAGCTTCCTTTGACCTACCAACCACAACTACTGTTTAAAACCCTTAGGTATTTTGGTATGAAAAGCTAACAATAGTCAGAAACTCCCCATCTTTACGTAGGATGTGCCAAGTTCATACCCAAATGAATAATTATAACCAAAACATGGTCTATGTTATACAGGAAGGCCTTGTTTACCAATAATACGACACAGAATAAGCTCGTAATGAACGGTCAAGAAGTCATGTACCCACTCCAAATAGCTGCATCGTTTACCTCTATCTGACGATGCTCTCCTTTTATTAATTTCTCTTTTCTTCTTATGCTTTTGATTCATTTCTAAACAACTGCTTAATTCTCACCATTGTTAATTTGAGAACCTTGGCAGCAGTAATATTCATGGTTACTAGAGCAAAGAAATTTCAAATTTCCAAATCAAGCAAGTAAATTCGTGACAAACACCAAATTGTTATCGTTTGAAGAATTATTACTCCCAAACAAGTTGAATAAACCTAGAAACGATACATCATCATACTTCATAGAGCATTTAAACATCCAAAAATGGAAACACGGACAAAGACACAAGAATAATTCCATACTGAGATGCAAGCTTATGATTTCGATACCAAAAATGCCTTGAAACTTTATAAAAGCTGACCGAAAATACAAAATTTTCAACTTTTATAGAAAGAAAACCAACTTATTGCGTAGTAAACTCTCTCGTGAGTGATTGGACAGAGCAACTTCTCAAAATAAAGAAATATACCTGCTGAGGGAGTCCAGACAAATGGACCATTGTAAAGCAGCCAACCCATGAAGCTCACTCTGTGAAAACAATTTTTGCATGAAAAATGCACTGATATAAAGAACAATCAGTTATTCATTGTCCAGAAACAACAAAAGGAAAGAGAAAATTGGAGAAGGGGGTGGGGTGGGTATAAAAATGTGTACGCATACTGCCAAAGTTTAATGGAAGTGATGAAAACTGATTTATTATCCTTGATTATTAACAGCATCACTGGCTAAAAGTTAGCGATTTTGGATAGAAGATTTAGGATCATTGTTGTTTGTTAATGATAAAGAACGTGGTTTTTTTTAACACAAGTAGTGTATCATTTATGCATGGTACAAAATACTCATTGTCCAAATATGTTTGCAGCAAATTTTTTAATTTATTTTTTATAATGCAATCAGCTCAGATAATTTACAGCAGCATTACCTTGAATGGTAACTTATCCATAACCTTCTGATAATAGATTAATGCTTCCTTAAGCTCTCCAACATTCATCAATGAGTTGCCATCCTTTAACGCCTGCATTTAGAATTATTAATTTGAGGAAATGACAATGTAGTATTGGATACATTACTATGAGATGAATTAAAGATTGTGAAGAGCAAGATGTCAATATTTGGCATAAATGAACAATTTTGGACCAACCTGGGACCTTGCCTGATTGGGGTGGTCAATAATGGGATGTATTGCAGCTGTACTAGCCCAAGAGTCTGTTTTGTTTCTAACGGAAAACCTATAAGTCATAAATTCTTAATGTATTCTACTACTAAGGTGTCCATAAATCACGGAATCCTAAGATCATTAGAAGAATGTATGTACAGGCTTGGAATCAACTAATCATTTATTGTTTCACAGAAATTTAATGATAGATATATCCCTTCAATTCCTACATCGGTCAATACCAATTGAAATCTGGAGGTATTTGAACCTGAAACCCAGTATCTATGTTCCTTTTATAGAGACTAGAGAGCTATCACTTTATTTTTTATTCTTTACAAATAGTTTTACTGGACTCGTGAACAATTCCAACATCTAGTTTAGTTCAGCTCTAGACCAGTGGCATTACATACAACACCAAACCTATCATCACTAGACTGGGACTTTTAACTTAATTCTAAAACCACTGGAGATGCCCAAGGGATTGATGTCAAGCTATGAAGAAATGGAAATATATACAAGTAGAAAAGGAAATATATCAATAGAAGCAAACCTTCTCACATTCAGCTCTTAGCTTTGGATCAATGTTCAACCCCATTTTACTCTTGTAAGCAGCTACTAATTGTCTTGTGCGTGCTTCTTTAGCTGCTTTTTCTTCAGCTGTTTCCAGCACTTGCCCTGGGCGTATAACTCTTCCACCTCCAAACTGAACAGAGAAGAAAACCCTATTAGAGAAAGTACATTCTCAAGCTGTTCCCCCAAACACTGAAATACAGTAACAGCAGCTGTATCACTACTACAGTAAAAGCATCTCCAATGGGATATGCAAAATGCCTTGAAATGGACACTTCAGATCTTTTCTTTGCTGGAAAATTCTCCAATGGAGGAATGTAAATTATCCATCTTCGACAGAAGATGTAAATAAAAACATAAATTTACATTCTTTTTTACATCTTTTGGTGATGGGTCCCACTAATCAAAGAGAGAAAATTGCATGGGACCTCAAATTTACATCTCACCGATTGAAGTAGAACTTTCATTTTCATCTGCCGGAAATATGGTTTTTGCATCTCAAATTTACATTTTCCCGTTTGAGATGCCCTAATACTTCCAATTTGAAAACTACACTATAATTGGACATCTCACTGTGCAGAAGTTTATCATAGTGAATGCATTGACGGTGATAGCATTTAAAAATGTAGAGTTTCGGAAAGAAACCATTTGGCTTGGTTCAAATTAATACAAAAAAATCTTCCAAAATCATACAATCGAAAAACCTAACAACAAGCACATAGACCACACATACTCATCCCTCACCCCCAGCATGTGGCAGTGGAGACCAAATTAAGCCCCAAAAAACAACTATACATACAAGAAATGCCATATGCCAACTATGTATCAAGCAGACTTGTGTAACACCATTTCTGAGATCAACTGTCATATACCGTTTTGGAAATGTCGTTCGGTCTAGGAAATACTCCCCACGAAGAAACTTTTGGCTTGTACAGGTCTGGATTATCTCCTTGAGTCTGCTCTGTCTGCCGCGGCCCTGCATCGAAATTTCTAGTGTCCCCTGCTATAAACTCGACATCAGGAGAGCCCCCTTCTGGAATATAGTCCGATATTGGAACTAACCCAGCGGGCAGTCCTCTGCCCTCCTTCTTATCCGCAAAGCCGAGTCCCACAAAATCAATGCTTGAAACTGACAATTTCGCCTTCTTTTCCACTACCTCTTTCCCCGAATTTCCGCCAGCACTTCCCTTCAAACCTAAAAAACAATTCAAACACTAATTTTTACCCCACACTATAAACTACATATGTCATTCTTCAGTATAACCTTCAATGGCATTTCATACTTGGTACCGCCTTCGAAAACTCCAGAGGATTGCTCAGAAAAATGACAGAAAAGCGAAAAACTTAGAATTTGAAAAGATTACCTGAAATTGTGCCTTTGTTCTCCCCAGCATTAATGTCACCACCACCCACAGCGCCTTTACTCTTCTTATACTCTTTAGCTTTCTCCATTGCAATCTTAACCGAAGCAGGCAGTTCTTTCTCCCCACCATCCGAATCCGAACCCGCACCCGTCCCACCATTTCCAGCAATTCCACCACTATCCTCAGCAGGGTTTTTCTCAATTTTCGAATTCTTGTTCATCTGCACCGACTTCTTGTAAGCCTTGGCGTTCTCCAATGCGAGCTTGACAGGGTCAACGGGACCCGGCTCGGCTTCCGGCGTCGTTTCGGGTGAATTTGGCGAGGTGGGTTTTGAAGATTCAGCGTTGGGTGGGTTCAGGGAGAAGGAGAGTTTGAATGGTTTTGAAGAGTGGGGTTTGTTAGGGTTTATGGAGAGGAAGAGAGTGGGTTTGGTTGAAGGGATGGTGCTGAGGGAAGAGAACAATGAAGGTTGAAGGGAAGCCATGAAGGATATTTTCTCAAGTTTCTGAGGTTGGAATGGTTAAGTGGCCATGGAGGACAAAGGGACAAAGGTTCTGGTTTTCCAGTTGTAATACCTTAGAAAAAATTTAAGATTACTAAGAAATTTTAAAATGGTAGAAATTGAAATAATGAAATTTACTATAAAATTTATGAATTTTCTTATTACTTAAAATTACAATGAAATTGAATACAGAATTTGTTGTTTTTGAACTTTCAATCATAGAAATTGAGAAATGACATCTATTTACATGAAATTTAAACTTGGGAATTGGAGGTCTTAAATTTCAAATTTTTTTTCTACGCGAAAATTCTAAAATTTTATATTTATGAATTCAAATAAAGAAATTAATGCATGTTTATTTATAAATTATAACTTTAATTCAAATTTCAAATTTATTTCATTTATCTAAACAGTATGTAAGGGTTTTTATAATTCATGTGGCATCGATTAGAGTTGTGGGCTCCACTTATACACCATACTTGACAAAAGTTATGGCAAAATTAATGTGCTGATATGAGTTTTGACATAATTAAACAACAAAGACGACATGATGCGTGAGGTATAACGCGGAGGACCGTATTGATCATATATTAACATAAACAATGGAAATAAGGACTTTTGAAAGGAAAGGAACCCTTGTGGGAGAGGATCCTTTTCCTAGGGATCATAAAAGATTCTGTAATTTTATCCATTTATCGTATACTGTGCGGTTGGAAATTATTTTAAAATTTAAAATTTAAAATTAAATATAAATAGTACTTAAAAAAACAGACTGTACGATATACGATGAACGGGTAAAATTACGGAATCCTTAAGATCCCTAGGAAGGATCCTTTCCCTTTTGAAAATATTAAAAAGCATTTGTGATAAGAACAAAATAATAATACTACAAAACCAACACGATCGCTTACACTCTCAAATAGCGGGGAGGTCTACCATTATATTTGGAATCCATTTATGTTAGTGAGTGTATCAGCTAACGGCAATTTTGTACATCCAAATATCGTTGCTAATGCTCAAATTAATGATTAATTACATGGTTGCTCAAAAAAACTATATGTTGCCCACAATATGCAGAACCATGCCTTATGATACCAATTCAATTTCAATAGCACGATGGACGATTCAACTTAGTTTACAAATCCATCAACTTAGTTTACAAATAAGAGTAAAAGATGATAACGGATTAGGCGAGTCGAAATATACATAAAACTTGGTCGTCTTACTAAAAGAGTAGTCTTACTCTTTAAACCCGCACAAGGCGGTTAGAAAGAACCAAGATCCAACGATGAGCCACCAACTACAAAGTAGACAACTTTCTTCCCACTCAAAGCGATTATAAAAGGCTAAGTCCCCAATAAAACGACCCCGTCCCCTATCTCCGAAATCGATTAAATAATGAAGAGCAATAATTGATTAACATCTAAACGTTCATAATGAAAGTCAATGTTTTTCCAGATTCCGGCAATTTGGATCCATGTCCAATCTTTTCCAACGAAATACAACTGAAAGTCCCGGCAGGCCAAGAATGATGAAAGGAAAATGATTTCCGCACTCCCTTTTTCTTCCCCTACACTCCTCATTTATTTTTCTCCCAGCCACTTGATTGAATAATCAAGGGGTGTCAATGGACAAAAACAAAAGGAGCGCGTCAGGAGGAAATGGAAGTGCGAAAATCATTTTCCATGAAAAATGCTCCAAAGATGCTAGTGGTTATAAAGCATCAACCCAGTTAACTCTACTCATCATCTAAAGACTCTGAATGAGTGATTCACAGCAGTGAAGCCCCCATCAACCATGAGATTATCGCCACTTATATACCTGGACTCATCACTTGCCAAGAACAGCACAGCATTAGCTACATCATCAACTGTCAACTCCACTCCTTGCAAGTTGGCGTTATTCCCTACAAAAGTACGGAAACCTGTCCAGGCATCTTCGGTTCTTTCTTCCTCGGGCAAGTGAGCCAATGCCAAATTCGTCGCAACTGCATAAGGAGAAACGCAGTTAACGCGTATCCCATGATTCCCAAGCTCAGCTGCAACGTTTTGCGTAAGCCCTAATACAGCATGCTTGGACCCTGTGTACGCATGTGGTCCTAGGCCTGCTACAACACTTGCAACACTGGAAAGAGAAACTATACTGCCCTTTTTTCGGGGGATCATTGCCCTGGCTGCATGCTTCATTCCGAGGAAGACTCCCTTTACATTAATATCAAACACCTTCTGAAACTCAGACAAGTTTGCATCACGGATGTCGGGACAAGGTGAACCTGACACCCCAGCATTGTTGACCAAGATATCCAGTGAGCCATATTTATTGACCGTGAAATCAACTGCATGGCTAATATCATCCTCCACTGTGACATCACAATGGAGATAACAAATGTTTGGATCACCGTGGAGGGATTCACACACTTGCAAGCCCAGGTTGTCTTGCACATCGACTAAACAAACTTTTGCACCGTGCTTGCGGAACAGGCGCACAATGCTTTCTCCAATACCAGTGGCTCCGCCGGTCACCAATGCCACTTTCCCTACTAACCTGAGGAGAAGGGAAAGAACCGAGCATCCATAAGGGAAACAGGAATTAAAACACGCACTTCTCCAGAAAGTTTCACAACTCCACACTACAAGAGCACACGCACACGATCATTTTGAAGATGACAATCTAGTAATCTACTGTTTGATTTCGTAACACCAATTTAGATTTATTGAGAAAAAAAGATAGTCCGAACGGGCAGGTCACTTCGAAGACATCGATGAAAAGTGGCAACAACACATCTAATTTCGAGATTCAGATAAATAAAGATTCCGATATTTTTTTGCTTTGTCAAACAATAAATTTGTTAGATTAGAAAGCCGAAGGGGATCGAACTACGCCCTATGCAAGGGCAACTCCACCACTATGGTAAATGGCCACTCTCTAAAGATTTCGATATTTCAGTTGAACACAAAATCTTGATCATTTTCAGGGGATTTTCAAGCATGTGATATAAACCGGAATATTTGGTCGTTAAATCGTTAAATCTTTAGTATAAATTTCTCATTTGTAGTTATCATTGTGGGCAAGGGCAAAAAATAAAATAAAATAAATAAATAAAAGGAAAAGTAAAAACAAAAAGGGGTTCATGAAACTCACACGTTTAAAAACTCCAGATTAGTTCAACTTCAACATGAACGCAATCCGTCAACCCAGAAAATAAAACCCACTAATTAACTGAAATAACCAACACAATTTACTACTAAATAATCTGAAGGCATGCCAAACGAGTAGAGCAAACTGTAAAATCCACAAGGAAAATCAACACAAATGATTTTCCGCCATTAGATTCAATACCTAGATATTCGCATGCACGATGAAAGCAAAGCTAAACCATGCACTTGCAGATTTAACACAACCTAGAAAAGCGACGAACAAAAAAAGCAGAAAAATAGAAACGGGTGGTGAGGAATGTAGAAGAGAAAGAGAGGTGAGAGTTTGTTTGTTACCTCTGGAAGCTTGGAAGCGAACCCACTTGTTCAGTCATGGTGGTGGACATTCCTCGCCTCTTCTGATTTGCTCTATGTCTTGTTTGACTTTGTCTGATTTTATTGTTTATGCTTCTCTGTCTCTTTTGGATTTGTATTCCGAATCTATGTTGTGAGACGTCTTAATCGTTATCATACATTATGTGTGGTTAGGAATTATTTTAAATTTATTTATTTAAAATTAAATATAAATAATATTAACGAAAATTAACAGAATGATATTCTATAAATGACCCCACCTATTGGTTGGCCCAATTCAAAATCTCCAAAATCTTCTCAAGTCCATGCAAATTACCCCCACCTATTGGACTTGCTTGAATGTCTGACAACTAATGCACAAACTCCAATAAACCTTCATCGTCATTGAACATCATCAATATTTATTAAAATCCATTATAAATTTCGAACATTTAAGTTTTTTATGAATTTTTTTCTCTAATTTCAACAAAAGAAGAATGAGTTGATATTATCACCTCATTTCAAATTTTCGTAATTAACACACCTCGATCGAGATCAGGGCATGCTGAGCGTCACGTGAAAGTGACGTAACCATGTGCACAGTGCGGAAGCTAATAAAATAATAATATAAATGGTACGAATAAATAAAAACTAGCTTTACACAAAGTAAATACAACAAGTGCAAGCGTAAGTGTGAACCCTAAGTTCAGAGCATAAAACCTAATGCAGTCCAAAAGGAAACGACGACAACAAAAACACACCTGAAGGTGGTCCTACACTGGTGGTGATCTGTCAGATATGCCGGGAAAGTCCTCAGGGAAGCCACCAAACGTGCTAGCCAACTAGAACCTGGAGGGAGCGCAAAACAAAAGCGTGAGTGGGCAAAAACAAAGCTTTTCGAAAACCAATTCAATAAATAAGTTCTAACCTCTCGCCATAAAACCTGTATACTTCCCAGAAAATAGTATATATATATATATATATATAAGTCATGCTCGAACAACGTGCCATGCAATATGTATCGAAGTAATATGCCAGTGTTCAGGAAACATCAAATCAATACCATGTAATTGTCAGCCGGAGTCACATAACGTGATATGTACGACTGAATTTAGAGCTCGAATCTCCATCTCACTAACTATACCTGCACACGAGTCGGAACCACTTAAAGTGGTCTGTACGACAGGTCTGGGTGTAATATGAGTACGCTCTAGTTCTACGATCACGTGAAGGCTGGGGCGAATAATCGCGGGTCACCTACGAGTCGGAACCACCTAAAGTGGTCTGTACGACAAGCCTGTGCACCTAACTTGGATCCAAGATAAGCGTGTGGTGCGGGAGGTGAACATCACGTGAAGGACTGTGCCCAACTCTGGGCGGGAGCACTAACACCGGGGGTGCAGGTTATGAGCTCTCTAAGTCTTTAGAATCACTACTGAACGTAAATAGAAAATATACTCACTTGGCACTCACCTGTGCGTCCACAGCACCAATATACATATGTATAAAGGCAACTAACAATGTATAACAAACGACAATATAATGCGGGGCATATAATGAATAAACGATTCAAAATCAATTTCTGGGAAAAATATAAATATATAGGTATATACGAAAAACCAAAAGCCCACTCACTCGTAAGTGGAAGGGTCGTAACCCCCTGCCTCGAGTGACCACGCTCGTCCTCGGGATACGTCTCACCTATATGCGAAACAACTATAAAAACGTTAATTTTAAAGCACATAACAAAACTTTAGAAATAACTTCTCATACATTGCTCAAATGGGGTGTATGAATACACCAACGTGATCTACTCAACCTCAGGAACAACCCTATATTTTTAGAAAAAATTTTCATGTGGCAGCATGCGGCAGTGAGACCAAATTAAGCCCCAAAAAACAACTATACATACAAGAAATGCCATATGCCAACTATGTATCAAGCAGACTTGTGTAACACCATTTCTGAGATCAACTGTCATATACCGTTTTGGAAATGTCATTCGGTCTAAGAAATACTCCCCACGAAGAAACTTTTGGCTTGTACAGGTCTGGATTATCTCCTTGAGTCTGCTCTGTCTGCCGCGGCCCTGCATCGAAATTTCTAGTGTCCCCTGCTATAAACTCGACATCAGGAGAGCCCCCTTCTGGAATATAGTCCGATATTGGAACTAACCCAGCGGGCAGTCCTCTGCCCTCCTTCTTATCCGCAAAGCCGAGTCCCACAAAATCAATGCTTGAAACTGACAATTTCGCCTTCTTTTCCACTACCTCTTTCCCCGAATTTCCGCCAGCACTTCCCTTCAAATTATTCATTTTGTTTGTTACCTCTGGAAGCTTGGAAGCGAACCCACTTGTTAAGTCATGGTGGTGGACATTCCTCGCCTCTTCTGATTTGCTCTATGTCTTGTTTGACTTTGTCTGATTTTATTGTTTATGCTTCTCTGTCTCTTTTGGATTTGTATTCCGAATCTATGTTGTGAGACGTCTTAATCGTTATCGTACATTATGTGTGGTTAGGAATTATTTTAAATTTATTTACTTAAAATTAAATATAAATAATATTAACGAAAATTAACAGAATGATATTCTATAAATGACCCCACCTATTGGTTGGCCTAATTCAAAATCTCCAAAATCTTCTCAAGTCCATCCCCCCACCTATTGGACTTGCTTGAATGTCTGACAACTAATGCACAAACTCCAATAAACCTTCATCGTGATTGAATATCATCAATATTTATTAAAATCCATTATAAATTTCGAACATTTAATTTTTTATGAATTTTTTTCTCTAATTTCAACAAAAGAAGAATGAGTTGATATAATCACCTCATTTCAAATTTTCGTAATTCCCATCAAAAGCAATCAATATGCCTACTAATAATTTCACATATTCGATATTTTAAACAAATACATGTAATGCAAATATTGTTGGCAGATTATTATTATTATTTTTTAATGAATATTGAGAAGTTGGAACCGACTCTGAAAACAGAGCCAAGCTTCCTAGCTCGATAACGCTGTTGGATATTCAGCGGGACCGGCTCACGATGATTGCCGCCGATAATTGGTCCAAAACCGTTGACGCCTCGCAGCCAAAGAAGCCCTTCGACCCGGAGCTAGTGAAGGAGATTTATCGGACGGAGTCGTGAGTTGGAGAGGGTCAGAGAAGGGCCGTCCCGTCACAGAGGGTAATGATTTTGGAGGTCAGTCAGTAAACTATCTGTGGCCAAATTTCGACCCCGAAACCGCAACCTTCGAGCACGTTATGTCCATGATTCTCATTGTCAATGAGAAGGTATTGTGTTTTCGAATTGTAATTTGATGTTTCTGTTCTGAATTAGGGTATCTTGGGTTGCTAAAATATTGTTGGGCTAGAAACTAATCCCAGTAGTTATTTTTTGGGGTTAGATAGTGGAACGATTCTGTCAATTTTCTGGTAGTCAGTCCCCAAAAGTTGGTCCTGAACTTTGAAATTGTTGGTATGTAGCATTTATGAACTGGTTTAATGGTTCTGCATTTCTTGCTTATATTGCAATTAACAATTATGATTGAACTTGTGTATCCCAACTTTGGACTTGCAGTTTCGAGCGAATGTGGCAGCTTGGACGTGCTTTTATGACCGGAAAGATGTGTTCAAGGGATTCCTTGAGAGGGTTCTTCGGCTTAAATCGGTTTGTGCTCATTTTATCGGATTGCCATATTTCCTCATGCATGAATAATGGTAAAAAGGATTTTATTTTAATTCTAATTTCATTATAAAAAAACTCAGTATTACTGATGTGTATTTGGTGCTTTGAAACTTAAATGACAATTATAGTTTGCATAATAGTATTCGTATTTTAATAACAGTTGCAGTGGTTTGTGGGATTCCTTCTTCATGATGACGGAACAATATCAAGGACAAAAGATCCTCTAGGGGAAAAACAAAAACAAACTATCATCTACCTACACCAATTATACTACAATACACATTTAAGACATATTAAGAAACAACGTCATGCCAATTTGAAACTATAACAGAATATGAGCTCTCCGTTAAACTCTGATGACACTGATTCCCAAGGGGAAGCCCACAAGTGAACCCTCTTGAACAAATAAGCCACCTTCTCACCCAATAGTGCTTTTGGATTTTGGCTTGGGCTGACATCTTCTCATAGTAGTGTCCCACTTTCTGATCTCCTATCTATTTTTTCATATAATTTTGTCCCAAACTTGTTCCTGGTAAGTATTGAAAAAGTGGAATGAAAAGTTTACAAAATCTCTATTGTTTTTCTAATTCAATACCTTTTCATTATCTGGTCATTATCTTCATACATAAGTTTATCACGTTCATGCATAGCAATCACACCGTGTTAGACTTTTATATGTTGATGTCCTTTGTTAAGAAGAGTTATACATGCTTACATGCTGGTGCACGATTCATATGTTCTCTATATTATTGCAAACATGGTTGCCATGCTCATTATTTTAATCAACTGTGGTCTACTTCGTAGTTGTTTCATTTCGTGCTTGCTTTGAGATAGACACAGGAAGCCTACTTAAATATAAACAGTAGCAAATTTGTATGATGTATTATGGACCATCTGGTCAAATGGTCAATGAGGATTCAGAAACTGAAAGATGCTTTTGACATATGGTCAACAAAGTTGCTTTTTGCTTGATTTTTATTTTATTCTTTTGTGTTTTTAGGTGGGGAGGGGAGGTTATTAAGGAGATACATTTATTTTCGAATGACTTCTTCAGGTGTTTTATTTTTCAGACTTATATTGATGCTTTTATGTTTGCAGGGAAGAGAATTAAGCATAGCTGAAAAGACAAATTATTTAGTTTTCATGATTAATGCCTTTCAGCTATGATAGCATCTTAAATGTTTGGTTTTTAACACTTTATCTGATATATCCAGTTCTAGAAAGATTTGTGAGCAGGTTACTCCCTGTAGAGTGGTTTATTAGTTTTTACATCCAAAAGCATCAGTGTAATTGTCCTTTCTCTAGTTTGTTTAGTCTGGACAGACTCTTTCGTAAGTCCAGAAAACATTCATAATTTGCTTTTATCAACTGTAGGTTGTTATTCTTGATTGCTTGTTTTATATCTTCGAATTGTTCATCATAAAAATTTATCTCTGCACAATTGAGTTATTATGAAATATTGAATTATTTAAGCTCTGGTTGGCTTCGATGCTAGCGCATCATATCTTTTTCTATATAAAGAGATGATATTTATTTTGTGTACATCATCTACTGCTATAGTATATGATACCGCGTTGGTAGAAGTTTAGCCCGTACACATAGTTCAGTTGTTTGGTGTGGCATCCATTTTGTATATCAGTCACATGTGTACTGAGCTTAATGGGTGAATGTAGTTAAAAACATACAATTAAGTCTTGATGCACGTATTTCTATTGAAGGATATGAATATTGTAGTGAAGTACTCATTTGATTTGGGTATTGTGGCAAGGTACTTATATTATACAATACTGATGTTTTGTGACAGAGTTTGGAAGATGAGATCGTGAGCGATACTGTCCTTAGTTTAGCAAGTTTGCAATCTTGGTACAGTTTGTCGTACGGTCGTTTTCAGGTAACACATATGGTGTCTATTTTCTGTTTCTGGTATCATCCGAATATATGTGACCTGTATTTTATTGTGCTTGATTTTCTTCTTTCATTTGCGGATGGAACTTTGTTTTAACTCTGATTTGATCAGGAAATGGAAAAGGATGATAAAGAGGGAGGCCAAAGAGGCTGCAAAACGTGGAGAGCCTTTTAATCCCTCAACTACACTTGAAATTCAGTTCTTGAGAAACCTCATTGAAGAGTTCCTTGAGGTTGTATTTCACACTTTTAAATTCTGAGCAGTGCTTTGTGGTCTTTGATTGTCAATACCAAGGAATTTATGAAACTTTTATTTTTATTTTTGTGCCTGTTCTAGATACTTGATTCGCAGGTTTTACCCCCAGATCCCAGTATGAATGAAGATGATCAACTTGCTGGTGCTATGCGTGTTGATGATGCTTGTATTTTGTACTGTGAGAGGTTTATGGAATTTCTTATTGACCTCTTGAGCCAACTACCAACAAGAAGGTACGTTTTGCAAATGTGCTCATTTCCTCTTTCCTCTGTTTGATGCTCAAAATTTTTGAACAGACGTCAGTTTTAACCTATTGGCATTATGTACTTTTATCATGAATTAGAGCTGTCAATTCTTCACGCCCTATTAGTTTTACTTCTTTATTTATTACATTGTTTCTATCTTCTTGTGATTGCAGGTACTTGAGGCCACTTGTTGCTGATGTAGCTGTAGTTGCCAAATGCCACTTGAGTGCTCTGTATAGGCACGAGAAGGGGAAACTCTTTGCACAGTTGGTCGACTTACTGCAGTTTTATGAAGGATTTGAGATTAATGATCATGTTGGTACACAACTGACGGATGATGAGGTGCTTCAATCTCATTATGAACACGTCCAATCTTTCCAGCTACTTGCATTTAAAAAGGTTCCTAAGGTATGCATTTAAAAAGGTTCTTATTATGTGTTTTCCTCTATATAATGGTGCTAGCGTTCTGAATTTTTTCTCTCCTTTGTGCTTGTAGTTGCAAGAGCTTGCATTGGCTAACATTGGTTCAATTGACAAGCGCAATGATCTGTCAAAGAAATTGTCTGTTCTTTCTCCTGGAGAATTGAAGAATTTGGTGTGTTCAAAGGTATGCATGACATTTATAGCCACGTTAGTTAAGATTGCGCAGTTTGAAATTTTTTCCCTAAATTGGTATTTATTCTGCTAGTGAGTATGGGGCTTGAATATCTTCTTTGTAGTGTTTTGTGCCGAAACAGTTAGTGAAAAGTTAATGACTAGGTAAGAGAAAATCATGGGTGCTACATTCCTGGCCTGACCTTAGGGCCACATCAAGCCACAGCCTAGCCCTAGAGGCCACGGTCAAGCTCTAGTGTGGCCATATTGGTCATTTTATCTTTCCATTTTTTCTTAATGTTTTGCAAGTGATCATAAATCTCTCCTTTGGTCGTCTGGCCAAGTAAAAGAGGCTTGTACGAGGAGGGTGAAATCTTGACCTTCATGGACTTGATCTGGAAAAATGCATTGAAGAAAATCAAAAAACTTTTACCTAAAAAGAAGCTTAAGAAGAGAGATTACGGAGAGAGAGAAGGTGAAAGTGAAAGTGATATGCTGGATGATGACTCAAGGGAGAGGGAGAGAGAGAGACATAAACAAGGATAGGAAGAGGCAGGGTAAATGGTTGACTGCAATAGTTTTGGTGAGATGAGTAGCAAGGGTAGCATGAAATATTTTGTTTTATTTTAAAGCCGTTGTACATAGTAAGCGTTTAGTTGTGGTTAGTCAGCGTTTGGACTTTGGACTATTAATTCTAGGTTGAATTTGACATTGTAGGAAGTTTTGTAGGCCTAGCCCTGTGGGCTTCTAGAAAGTCCAACTCTTTCTCTGGGTTCATTTTTATTTTTAGTGTATACTTTTAAGCTATGAAGCATCAATTCTCCAGATCGGTTCTGATTCACACTCTGGGAGCGAGATCGGCGGGATTCAGCTTGGGTGCAGCAGGAGTGGCTTGGTGCTGCTACAAATCGGAAAGAAAAAAATGCCGCTCTTTTTTATGTAAAAAGCCCAAAGGCATTCTCTTTTGCCGTAAAAAGCCCAACAGCGTTCTCTTTTGCAGTAAAAAGCCCAACAGCGTTCTCTTTTGCTGTAAAAAGCACAAGGCTTTCGCTTGCTGCAGTTATGGCTGCGTTTTCAGCGATTATGGCCTGAAAGGAACTGATGAAGAAGATGATAGAACCTGTTGTGGGCCATCACCACACCAAAAGAGCAAAACTGCTTGTTTCATTTAAAGTCCACCTTTCTTCTCTTTTAACATGTGGTAGGCAGCATATCACATCTCTTTCATCAGGCAGTAGGCACTAAACTTCAAATAAAGAGTTCGATATATAACGCCAAAACTAAAAACATAGGCCACTAAAATGAAACCTACCTGAAATTAAGAAATTTAAATAATCATTTAAAACAAGCCTATCTACCAATGCTATATTTATATTTTTGAATATTTATTTATATGTAATATATTTTAAATATTTTTAATTGGCGAATCCCTGCCGTTCCTAAATCGGGATTCTTTGAGTTTTCATGCTTCTGAATTCCCCCGCTTCCGAATCCCTGCTCCAGCTCGCGTATCCATGCTTCATAGCTGTGAAATGGAGGGAAAATATGGTGACTGAAAGTAGGTCAGTTAAAAATAGGGAGAGAGATTGCTCGTATAGACTTTTACTCTACATTAAAGGCTTAGTCAAGCTGACTTGATATCATGAATTTAGCATTAGGATTATAATTGTAATTGTTTTCTTTTTGATAGAATAATTATGTTTGATTTTTTTGAGCTTTAATTTGTTGGGAGTTAGAAATGAAGTAAATGATTTCATTTTAATTTTGTTGTGTATTTAAGTGAAGATTGTCTGCCCGTGCCTTTTCTGTTTCAGGAATCAGGACAAACATGTTGCAATCTTTATTTCATTTGTCTCTGAGTTGGCTAATTACTTGCTTTAGGAATGTCAGCTTTCCAATGTATTTTTCTCCATTTTCTCACTATCTTCTCCTTTTGGTTGTACACTATGGATATTGTAAATTTTGTTTTGCTGATATTTTTTTCCGTTTTGCAGCTGAAGCTGGTTTCAAGGGATGACCCTTGGTCCAATAGGGTTGATTTCCTTATTGAAGTCATGGTTTCATTTTTTTGAAAAGCAACAGTCTCAAAAGGAAAAAATAAATGCCCTTCCTCTGTACCCAAATGAACTTATTATGTGGGACGAAAGCCTTGTGCCAAGTATCAATTACTCTGGAGATGGTTGTCTGGCCCTTCCAAAACTGAACTTGCAATTTTTAACATTACATGATTATCTCCTCAGAAATTTTAATCTCTTCCGTCTTGAGTCAACATATGAGATTCGGGAGGATATTCAGGAAGTTGTTCCACATCTTCATGCATACATTAATAATGAAGGAGAAACAGCTTTTCGTGGTTGGTCAAGGATGGCAGTGCCAATCAAAGAGTTTAAGATCAGTGAGGTAAAACAGCCAAATATTGGAGAAGTCAAGCCAGCTGCTGTGACAGCAGAAGTTACTTTTACTTTCTATTCACCCATCCTTTGAGCCTCTAAGTACAGAAGAGGATGGCAAGGCGAGTGTGCCACAGAGTCTTGGTCTTCAATATGTACGAGGTTGTGAAATCATCGAGATTCGTGATGAAGAGGGAACTCTAATGAACGATTTTACTGGAAGAATTAAACATGATGAGTGGAAGCCTCCAAAAGGAGAACTGAGAACTGTGACTGTTGCTTTAGATACAGCACAATACCACATGGACGTCAGCAACATTGCCGCAAAAGGCGCAGAAGATGTTTATGGGACATTCAATATACTGATGAGGAGAAAGCCTAAGGAAAATAACTTTAAAGCAATTTTGGAATCCATTAGAGATCTTATGTATGAATATTGTATGTTCCTGACTGGTTGCACAACATTTTTCTGGGGTATGGTAATCCTTCTGCTGCACAATGGACTAACATGCCAGATCTTTTGGAAACTGTAGATTTTAAAGATACTTTCCTGGATGCAGACCATTTGAAAGAATGTTTTCCAGATGATCAGGTTTGCCTATATAATGTCTTTATTACTGATGTCTGGAACTTTTTTTTTTGTCTGTTTGTTAGCATCTTGGAGGGTGATCTTACTGATGACTTTCTTGTTGACATGTTCATTGTTCAGGTTTGTTTTACTAGTCCAGATGGCACAGAAAACTTGAATCCAAGTCCCCCTTTTCGAATAAAGCTTCCCAAGACGATCAGAAGCAGCACCAATGCTCTTCCAGGGAATAAGAAATCTATTATTGTTTCTATGAGTCATGTCCCCATGGAGAATTCCGATGAGAAGAAAGAAAAAATTGTTGTTGAAGCATACACACCTCCTGACCCAGGTCCGTATCCCCAAGATCAACCAAGGAAGAACACCGTTAAATTTACACCCACTCAGGTAGTTATTCCTTCATTTGCCTCATTTGCCCGTTTGTGAGATGTGATTTTTTTGCTTATGTATTGTGAGGCTAAATTTTTATAATCATGTACAGTGTTTTCTTTTATTGCAATATACCAACTTGTAAAATTGACATAAGACCCTTGGATGAATTAGAAACCAATAATAAGAAACTATGTTATTAAGGTATAGGTGATTAAGCTTCTCTACAGTTTTTAGTGATTCTCTATAAATCATGTAATAGTACCATATTAGTAATACAAAATAGGAATTTGCAGGTTGTTCTACTTTTAGATATTTTTAACATCTTTTAGTTACTTGTGAAGTTATGATGGATAGTTAAAGTAACAAACTTTGAATTAGGAATCATCGTTTGTGCCATTTAGACTCTGTTTTAATAATTTCTAATCGTCCTTCTTGTGTAGGTTGGAGCAATCATCTCAGGTATTCAGCCAGGACTAACAATGGTCGTGGGTCCACCTGGTACTGGAAAAACTTATACAGCTGTCCAAATTCTGAACGTTCTCTATCATAATTGTCCGTCTCAGAGAACATTGATAATTACTCATTCGAACCAGGCTCTAAATGACTTTTTTGAGAAGATTATGCAGGTTCAGTTTTCTATCGGTTAGGGTGTTCAATCCTGCTTATAGCTATTTTCTATGTTGTCATAATTTTTTAATATTTCCCTGTGCGATTTTAGAGGGATGTTCCTGCACGCTATCTTCTTTGACTTGGGAAAGGAGAGCAAGAGCTAGCAACTGATCAGGACTTCAGCCGACAAGGCCGTGTCAATGCCATGCTTGTGCGGTGCTTAGAGTTGCTAAGTGAAGTGGAGAGGCTGGCTAGATCACTCAAGTTGCCTGAGGATGTAGGTTATACATGTGAAACTTCTGGGTACTTTTGGTTGCTTCATGTATACTCGCATTGGGAGCAATTCCTCGCTGCTTGTAAGGAGAATAAAGATAAAACATCATTTGTCAAAGATCGTTTTCCCTTCAAGGAGTTCTTCTCCAACACACTGAAACCAGTCTTTACTGGTGAGTCATTTGAGAAAGATATGTGGGCAGCTAAGGGTTGCTTCCGTCATCTGAAGACCATGTTTCAAGAGCTTGAAGAGTGTAGGGCATTTGAGTTACTGAAGTCTACTGCTAATCGTGCAAATTACCTGATGACCAAGCAGGCAAAGATAGTTGCCATGACATGCACTCATGCAGCTCTAAAGAGAAAGGACTTCCTTGAGTTAGGTTTCAAGTATGACAACTTGCTCATGGAAGAAAGTGCTCAAATTTTGGAGATTGAAACTTTCATACCAATGTTGCTCCAGAGGCAGGAAGATGGTTATGCTCGGCTTAAATGCTGCATCCTGATTGGTGATCATCACCAGTTGCCTCCTGTTGTTAAGAATATAGCATTCCAAAAATACAGCCACATGGATCAGAGTCTCTTTACGAGGTTTGTCCGTTTGGGCATTCCTTATATTGAACTCAATGCCCAGGGTAGAGCCAGGCCAAGTATAGCCAAACTGTACAACTGGAGGTACAGAGATCTGGGTGACCTTCCATATGTAAAGGAGGGTGCCATATTCCATAGAGCAAATTCTGGATTCTCCTATGAATATCAGTTGGTGGATGTGCCAGATTACCATGGCAGAGGTGAGTCTACACCTTCACCTTATTTCTTCCAAAATGTGGGGGAAGCAGAATATGTGGTCAGTGTCTATATCTATATGCGTCTACTTGGGTACCCTGCAAGCAAAATCTCCATATTGACCACTTACAATGGCCAGAAGCTTTTAATCCGCGATGTTATCAACAGACGATGTGCTCCTTATGATTTCGTAGGCCTTCCCAGCAAGGTAAGAATAAGATCACCACTATACTTTACAATTTGCAGATGTCTCTGACCTTTAAAATGGGTTAGAATACGAATGTATCAAAGTAAACATCAGGCACACTAATGAAATACAAACGTAATAGATGTTAAACAAATAAGAATCGAACAGTCCATTTGTGAAATCTAAAGGCCTGTCAGCAAGTTGGTGTCTCTGTAGGCTAGTTTAGTTCTTGTTAATCCCTCAGAAAAAATGACCAGGAACCTGGAAGGTGTCTTTATACAGTATTGTTAAGGCATTTTGGGCTCTCTGACAGTTCTCTGTCAGAGATAAGTTTCATTCATCCTTACCCATTAGCTCTGATGACATGACAATTTTACGCTTTGTGATTGCTTTAGTAAACTACTGTCTCTGTTGACCTTTGTGATCCCATTGGTAAAATAACGTTTTTATTGTGCACTGTTATCAGGTTACAACAGTTGATAAATTTCAAGGTCAGCAAAATGATTTTATACTGCTATTTCTTGTGCGTACTCGCATTGTGGGTCACCTTCGTGATGTTAGAAGATTGATTGTTGCAATGTCTCGTGCCCGACTGGGTCTTTATGTGTTTTGCCGTCGTTCTTTGTTTGAACAATGCTATGAACTTCAGCCTACATTTCAACGTCTACTTCAGAGACCTGACCACCTTGCTCTTAATTTGAACGAGATTACATCAAACACTGAGCGTCACGTTGAAGAAACTGGTCCTATTCATCTTGTCAGCAGTGTTGATGAGATGATTGGTATCTACCAGCAGCTTTATGAGGTATGCTTTCCTGTCGTGCATTCAATTTTCCTTCTCGTCATATTTTGATTTAAGGAGTTAGATGGTGAGCGTGTAAAAATATCTTGATCAGTGGAGTGCCCCTTGGATCTGCATTAGTGTATCATCCATAACTATGAATTTCCGATCCCATGCAATTAAAATCAAGTTTCTACAGTACAAACCTCAATTTGACTGAGTTGGTCTCCTAATAGGAGAATACTAGTGAGATCTAAAGGTTTCTAAGCCTTCACTTTCATGTGTATTCATTATTCTGGGGGGTCATCTTCCTATATCTGATGCCCTTAAATTACTTACCCTCCACAATTTAAAATATATTTATTTAAACGTTTCTAAGCCTTCAATTTTGTATGTAGTCATTATAATTTTAAATTTTAACAAATTAACTGCCATAACCATGCTATTTCTGATTTGTGTAACCATGTTATTTCTGATTTGTGTTCAGCAGATTTAACCCAAAAAGGAATTTTGTTATTTTTTGTCAGGTATAGTTCCATCTGTACATGCCTTATTCAGGTCGAGTAGATGAAATCCTTCCGATGGATACAGATGGGCACCATCCCATGAATACAGATATGGCTTTAACTTCTGATGGGGCACCAACAGATGATGGCCAGCATGGAAGCAATATGGAAGAAGACACTAAAGGCGATGTTGCCACCAATGGGCAGATCACGGAATCATCATTTGAAAACCGGTCAAATGGGGAGACAGATGCTAAAGCTAGCTTGAATGACATAAATGTGCCACCTGAAAGCAATTCTGATGAAACAGAAACGGAAGAGTAGTGCTCAGCAGTAGTTAGATTTGGATTTTCTTTTTGTGTAATTTTCAAATCTGCTAGTATACTCGAGGCAAGTGCAGTCTCTTTCGTTGTATGGATGCCACTCACGAAGCCGCAATACAACTCAGATTATGCTGCTTTGGTAGCCAGTGAGCCTGCAAGTGATGACTGTAGCTTGTGAGCCAGTGGATAGTTAATGCCTAATCTTTTATACGCCAAAGGCCACACTTGCGCTGTGCGAGGTTGGTGCTTGTCGGACAGCGAAGTACATTCTGAGACTTGGGATTCATTTTAGAGCTTGTTTTCTGTACAGTGCGAAATGTATGCCGAAACCTACTGGAACTTTACATGTTTTTGGCTGACCCTTCTTGAAGTAGGTGAAATCCTTCTGTAGCACCGTCACCTGTAACCTCAATGAACTTACGATCTATTAGCGTGCAAATGAATTAAGATGTAATGTTACTAGATGAACGTCATTAGTTGCTTGAGTAATGGGATGCGTTTTAGTCGCTTGATTACAGGTTGCATTTTCTGGCGGCTGAATTTAATCTTGCCGGTGCCATATGGTCGTTGTAGTTTAGAAATTCTGTGATCATATAATTTGCACCACAAACCAAACCCAGGAAACATAAGCCGAAAGCACAAACGAAAATAAAGAAACACCATGCATTCAACATGGTGGTTATGTCAACCCAGTTCTACCAAATGGAAGTACGTAGCTGTTCTTATAAGCGGACGCTCGTTGTATTGTATATGTAAAGTTGAGTGAATGAAAGGGGCAGACGCTTTGGAATGGATGCTAGCTTTGGACGGTGGACGAGTGGTATTTCTCGAATCATCGGATGTGCGTCTTGTATCGTTGTTTGTAATGTTGAAATGTTTCTGGATGCGATGTAACTTCAAAATTCAAAACAATTACTTACTAGAAAAATCATATGAATCTGAAAGAAATATGAAATATCGACTTGCTGATAATGAAGCTAGCGGTGATATGTAGTCCAGGAAAGAGGCATTTGACAAAATGATGACTGTGATTTGACTCATATATGTGATGATGAGCCTGATGATGGCAATGCATCACCACCTTGATCATTCGCTCTCTCGAAATGGTGAAGGCCAACAGACTCACGCGTCCAGCTGAACGTGGGCTGAGAGAGTGGATGAATGATCATGAGACAAAGAACGACATGCAAAGAATCTGCAAAGGCGCGCAAGAGGATCATCATCCATTGAGTTATATATCTGCTCTCCACTGTCACTGACCGGACCAGAGAAGTACTGGGAGATTCTGAGGACGTGATCGAGGTTGAGAGTGAGGCTGTCGTGAACGAGGCTGAATATGACGGCCTGCAAGAAGAGAATCAAGAGACAAGGAAAGACGCAAATGCGCAAGGCCGAGAGGATCATGATCATGCATGCACTGCTATGGTACTACCCATGTAATTACTGAGATCATAATCATCAGATGGCTCATAGCTTGGTCCTGCCTCATCATACATGGATGTTAGTCAAAAGCATAACCAGCTTCGTCCAAATCATGCATATTTTCTTTCATAGGTTTGTCCCATAATAGCTTAGCTCCTCCTCCCAATATTCTTGGCGTATGCAGGCCTAGAACTCAGTACGCTTGGTCTTATTTATAACAGTAATGGCAAGAAGAAGAGGAGGAACAAATCTATTGCCTAAGGGGCGAAAGCGGAAGAGAGTCAGCCCTCCAAAATCACAATCGTCACCCGGTGAATATCAAAACTGACTTTATTGCCATCATTGACAAAAGTCCCGACCCGTGCCCACCCCTACTTTTTGCGCTGCTAGAAAACACATTGGCCGCATGATAGCCGTTAGTGATCATTGGTGCCGCGCTGACTTACAAAAATTGTTTAAGACAATAATTCAAAAAATCAACCACTCCAAGATTGGCAGTGAGTACCAATCGGGTTTCCCGCGCCATTTCGGTTTCCAAGATGACTGCACCGCACAAGGTGGGCCGTGGGCGGGGCAGAGGCGTTATATCAGGCTATGGCCGTCGGCGGTCGACCGTCGTGGCGTGGGAGGAAAAACTGGTGGCTCAGATAGAGAGTAGTATTGTGTCGTCTGGAGGTGGGTGGGGTTTTGAAATTTTGTTTGTGTGCTTGTTCGTCGATGGATAATCACTTACAGCACCAGTTAAACCAGAAAATTTTCATTATATGATTAGAATATGGATGGTACATCAAGTGTTTTTATATAAGTGGTGGAAAATTGTATGTTTTAAGTTATTAACTTTTTAATACACATATCCTCATTTGTATAGTGACACGTGATGTACCATCTTGTGTTCCGATCACATTGAAAAATCTCTCCAGTTAAACGGCATAAAAAGTTATTAACCACCCAATTTCTTACCTATTTACACCACTACCATTCTCCCTCACCAAAACGCAAATGTGTTAAGCAAATGAGTATTGATATATCTTAATGAATTACTGTAACAAACAAAAACACATTGAACATTTGCAACAAGACTCCAAGAAACCGTAAACAACAAGAAACAAGATGAAGCAATGTAATTCCAATCTGACTTCATATATAATAATACATAAATGTGTTAAGCTGAGCCCGACATAACTTAAAAAACAACGGAAAAAGAAGAAAGAAAAGAAGTAGATGATTTCAAGTTACGATCGGTGAACACTTTGAATATCGAACATTTCGAGCAAACTTGGATGCAGGAAGTAGCTGGACTGCAATGTTTGCGCAGATGAAACCTTATTAGTTTGAACCGCTCCTCTAATCGCCCAGTTTTGCGCTTCTCTGCACTCTTGCGTCCCACGACCAAAGCTTTCAATCTTTCTTCTAGCTTCCTACAGCAGCTCCTGGCTAGCGTGAGGTCAACTTTTAGCCACAATGTCAAGACTTCCTTTTCTTTGTAAATGTTCTTTGAATTTTGTCGAAGGTGGTTTTCTCAAAAAATGTTACTTGTATGAGAAAAAAACATGTAGACATGGGCAACCTGTAATTGAATAAGTAATGCAAAACTAAATAATCATCTGGTGCATCAATATCCAATACTGAATCAGTTCGAATTTACAATATTCTTCATGAATTTAGTAGACTTTGTTATGACCAGCTCAAATTGCTTGAAGTAAGCCCCGGAAGGGTAAAGCATAAAATATGTACTCAATACCAATGGATAGTATAATTTGCCTTAGTGAGTACTTTCATTATGATATTGTTGCAACATACTAAAATCTCTTGCAAGAGTTGATGATATTAAATTGAAACTCCTGAAGAGTCAAGAAAGATTATAAAGTGTTGAAAGAAATATTGTTTTGAACTGTAGATCGAACAATATGCCAACACGAATCTTATCCCTGATGTTTATGATATTAAAGAATCATATGGATTGAAGATTATGAGTTGAATACTCAAATGATTTAGACACTAAGAATGATCATTTATCTTCGTGAGGGTAAAGATAAATTGATATTTGGTCCAGAAGTAGCACATCTTAGTAAAGTATATGCTTTATTGTATTTGGCACAATACATTGAATGAAATAAAGCTTATATATTGATATCTCCGAGAAATTACATATATAATCATACACATGAGTTAAAACAAACAAACAGGATGAAACCTTCACAAAGGTTGCTCATGTGAAACTTCAGTACTCAGCAATACCCTAGAAGGGGGAGGCACTGGAGATTAATCATGTGACACTCCAGTACTTGGAAAAACACGAGAAGGGGAAGACATCAGTTGCCTTTGGAATCTAGCAACGAACCTCTGGTGATCACTTTGAATTCGACTTTCGGATTCTTGTAGTTGTTCGAGCTTTCTTTTCATGCTCGTAGAGTAATTATTTGCAAGCACATGTAACACTCTATTCTCGTGATTGAGCCCTCTGATTTCTTGTTTAAGACTTGCCATCTCAGCCATCAATGATTCAACTTGGTGAGTTTGAGCAAGTAGGCGTTGGCCCATATTGGATATAGAGCTTGCACATTGAACACTGCGAGCCAAAGAGTCTTGAATGGCTGACTCATCAGACCATTTTGAAATGATTCTGTTATCATTTGGAGTGAGAAGATTCCTAGCTATCATAGAAGTGGTTATGTTATTCTTCATTACAGAGTCCCCAACTGTAAGAGAACCATTAAAAGATAAGAAGGATGGGCGTCATATATTATCCTGACGCTGCTCGTGTGTATCACTCCTAATACTCAAATCTAAACAAATGTTAGATAGGTAAGCCATTTTCAGAAATGATGAAGGAAAAAGGAGGTCAAATGAAATCTCAGAAGTGCAAGAAAAGGAAAATTTCTACAGGCAATAACTTTCTGAGCATACTCTTGAACACAATTGATGTCTCTATAAAAGAAGAGGCAACAGAGCCACTTGTTCAGAGATCGAAGAGGCACCGCTCTCCGAATTTCAAAAGCTAGATTTTCCTAAATAAAGTTCGTTGACATTTTTCAGATGCAATCTTAGCTTTTTTGAATATCGCCTGCAACTTTGTTAAGGATCTCTGACAAAGTTGAAAACGCGTAAATCTTACTGTTCTAATTACACTACAGTTGCTGACAAGAGTAAAGGCACATCACCACTACTTTCTATTGAAAAATCTCTATATATGTCGACCTTCGTTCTCATTAACAAGGCAAACTTGCAAGAATACCTAACTCTTTCTCATCTCCAAGAATGCATCTTCAACAAAGCATCTCTAAATACTCAGTTTTCTTCCTCTTCGAGAATACCTCTTCAAAACCAGTCACACCAGAGCAAGATTATCTCATATCATCAAGGATGAGAGCAAGAGTATCTCATATCATGCAATCTCCCTGTCCTTTCATTTGTCCTTGTTCTTACCTGCAAAAATAAGGATAAAGAAAGTAATATGTCGGAACCTCCACTCAAACTTCTGGTAAGGAACCGACTGCTTGGAACCTTTCCTGATTGCTTACCTATAATTGCTCTCGAGTACTCATCTTCAACTGCTGGTGGAACTGGGTCTCAAGTCATCAACACCATAGAATAATTGGCTCATTGATGGCTTTTTACACTAAAGCTGCCACGCATGGATGAGTCGCCAAGAAGTGAAGGACCTTTCAAATGCAAGCTTTGCATTCCACTCCTGCATCAATGAACAAATACTACAAGAGAAGATGCCACACATGCATGAGGGAAAACCAGGGAAAATACCACTTATGGAAGGGGAACAAGTAAGACAAATGAAAATGATACATTGAAGCATGTGGAGACAAGCGCAACAAACACGTGCTGATTCATCCCCGAGAAAGCCTAAGATCACTTGTCACGTGAAGCTCCTCATGGTCCAATTTCATTCAAGATCAAGCCTAGACGATCCTTGAAGAAATCACAAGTCCGATTCAAGATCAAGTGTCCACCACCCTTAAATCAAATTCAGCTCCAGATAAAAGGAGTAAATTCAGACCTTTGGAGGAAATCAGAAGACCCTCTAGCCCAGTTCAAGAACAAGCCTGTGGAAAGTTAACAACAAGTAAAGCGCCTCTTTCGGCAACTC